AGCCAACTGCGAAAAATGAAGAATAAAAAGGGAAGTATCGGTCGTCTCTCTTGATACAATTCGTGCATTAGTAGTAGTTCTTTCTATATCTTTCTTTCTCCGGCTTAAACGGCTCTTTGCTTTTTTTGCTTTTGGTTATGAAATAAAGAAAGTAAAAAACTAAAAAAGCTACCAAATTCAGATACAATTTGAAATGGAAGTGTCATTTAGAATTTAACGATGCAAAAAACGTGTAGAAGCTAACAACAAACAAAGAATACATGTTATAACATTTGGTTGAATACTTACACGACTAAGCATGAAATGAATCGGTTGATTGCAGATACAATTTTAATGGTTTATAATTCAATCTAAAACCTCTTTGGTCTAGGGTTTGTATACTCAAACCATTGATCCGATTCCCGGTCGGATCGGTCCAGGTTTTAAGACATACTTTTTTAAGGCTTTCATTGAACTAGACTTTACACTGGCCCGTATAATTACCACAAGGGCAGAACGAACTACACCATACAGATTAGTGAAGCTAGCAGTAACTTACTCAGGTTCGATTCACATACATGACTCTCTCTATCAACAAACAAAACATTCATCAACTTACAGACCAGGTGGCTTGAAAAAAGGGACCAAACCAAAGACACTTTCGAGATCCAATGGGACCTGAAGAGCCTGTTTGAGTAGCTCGGGTGTTTTGCTCGTATCTCCTTTCCATGTCCCAAACCACGGTCCTCCTCCTATCTCGACCGCTGCCATCGAGCTCTTTGCCTCCAGTATTACCTGCATCATTATTAACCAAAACCAATGTTCTTAATCGTCTTTAATTGCCTCTATGATCTTGTGCCTCAGGTTTAACTAATTTGCATGCATACCTTTCCTTTACTTCCATCATATAACCGTTCCCATATCTGCAACTTCAATTCACCGTAACAACTATCTCTGCAAGCTGTAGCTAGCCCAGCTTCTGTGGTAGGAGCACGCAGAGGAGTACCTGCTTCGTTTGTTCTTGCTTCTAGTTCCACCTGTTACAAGACAGATCGGATACATTTATCGGGTGTCTTGAATCCAGCCATAAGGTAATGATGTTGTCAGAGTGAAACTGTGAGATAGAATCAAGAGTTACCAAATGGGTCTCGTTCTCTGCAGTCATATACCAATAACCCCATGGAGACATCTCCCATCTAACAACAGCATTCCACGGAACAAACTCGTATAATTTTCCATCATAGTGTACACAAACCTGCACAATTCACAAGGGCCCAGAGATTTGTAAACTACCAACTTTTTAACATTGTCTCCTAAGTGTCGTTGCTTAAGAAGAGATCTTAATCAGTGCATACCAGTGCAGCATTTTCATAGGTCTCAGTCAATCCGGGCAATTGCCTCAACCCGCCAGCTGCAGTCAAAGCAACTTCTCCACTTGCACCTTCAAAGACATTACACTGGACCTGTAAAGAGACACCAGCTAATAAAGCTATCGAATAGGAATTGAAGTGTTAATACAGGTGTGTGCAGTATACAACTCAATGCCTAAATTTTGCAAAAATAAAATGTAGCACAAGAATGAAAATGTTTACCCAAAACCATTTCCTGGGGAAGCCTCCACCCCAATTTTTCTCTGAATAAGAAGGTGCATCCCGAAATTCAAATCTTTCACCGCCCCATTCTATCCACCCTGCAAATTCAAGAGATACAACATAAGATCTAAAATAGCAGTTTCTTGCTGCCCATGCAATTACGATAAAGAGATGGTAATTAGGAAAAGTGGACGATTTCCTTCTTAATTTTGCACGCTGAAGGCAAGTAACTTAGCCGTATTTTTAGTAATATTAGTCAATTTTCATACCTGTTGAAAGGCCTCCTGCCATGCATATCTGCCAATGAGGCTCAAATACAGGAAAAGCTGCAAGCCAGCCTGCAGTAGACTTCTGTTTGGCCCCAACATCACCCCAACCATAAACAGGACGGGTACTATACTCCCACCGAGCAGATTTCACAGTTTCCGCATAGTCAGTCCTGCCAAAACAAGTCAATTTAGATTTAAACACAGAAAATGTCAAACAAATCAGCGAGTTCTACTATTCATATTATGCCAAACTAATCCCAACATCTGAGAACGCTAGTTCTAAAATGCATCCTTTATTTTTGGGGCCATGCATGACGATTTAGAGGTCCACGACTAGATTCTGACAGAATTTAACTTACATTAGGAATCATGACCAACTGAAGCAAGCTTTGTAGGCAAGTTGTGTGATCTACGAATGATGCCTAAGAAACCAACAAAACAATTGCATTCCCGGTTTCTCAAGACTAAACAAGATATCTCCTCACAAGCAATTCTAGTTTTGGGTTAGGCTTCAAGTATAATGGTCAAATATAACTAATTCTAGCTGCGCATAGAATCAGATAATTACCTGCCATCATCGCAAATGTGACCTTGATGCCAAAATGGGGTAGCTTGGAACCCTTCTGACACTCTCCTGTTGAATTCCTACAATAAAATGCGATCAACATTCATGAGAATACTAAAAATAACAAAAACTTGAGCTTCCTACAAGTAGAAGTAGAACACTATCATGCATGCCAATGCCCAACTCAAATCACTGAGTATGTAGTGACAACACGAATACAATCAGAAAGATATTTAACATATCACAAGAGTAACCAAACGAGAGAGGAGGCAGAACAGCGTTTTTTTTTCCTACCTCTGGTGGAACCTCCTTGTTTGGAGGCCTTGCTCCTGGCACACCACTGAAAGTATTCCCCAAAACTAGCTCATGTCTATCTATGCATGAGTAAAATGTTTAGGTAAGTTATCTTTAAAGTCATGTAAGCTAATTTATATTAAAACAACAACAGCACCAGCACCACTAATATATAAGAAAATCCAGACTACATTACTACAATCTTTCACGTCAATAACGAACCTAGGAACTAGAAGTAGAAACTCATGAAACAACATTTTAAGGATCGAGAAGTCACCTCCCCAGAAATTTTGAGACTCTTCAGTGTATTGACATATATATTTATCATCAGCACCAAGAATCTGAGCTCCAACACCAGTGAATCTTGGTCCATATAGAGCTACTTCCANTGGTGACAATCTCTTNCTAAACGCTGGATTCTCCACANAATACATAAAACAAAAACTCTCCTTCTTCTCTGGGATCGAAACCCTGAAATACCATCCCTCGAAGAACTTCCGAGCTGTTCCATCGAAATGGTACCTGTGTTTGAAATCAACTTTTTAACCCCAGAAACAAAAAAAAAATGCAATTTCGAGAATTCACTTCACAATTAGTCTGCAATCGTGAGACACATTGAAGCGATGATGGTAACAAGAATATGCAAATCAATAATCAAACAGCGAAACGAAGCCAGAAACACAAATTGGAAGTTGAAACAAAAACTGGATAAAGAGAATTCGTATTCGAACGGGTCAATTTACCCACTGTGAGGAGTCCGGAGCTCGCGATTGGGAGGCGTCGGGACATAAACAGGTTTCACAGAGATTGCAGTATTCTTGTTGGTGTCAATCGCATGATCGGAGGAAGAAGTTTTACTATCAGGCGTAGAAATCGACGCCGAAACCCTAGAAATGGAGCGGGTGCTTAGTTTAGCCGATCGGAACGGAACGAGTAAGTGAGTGACGGGAGATATAGGTCGAGAGAGATCAAAGGAAGAGAAATTAGTGTTCATCGATAAAACCAAGCTCCGAGCCTCCATCGACTGGATTTAGGATTTAGAAGAAGGAGATGCAAAGAAATGTTAATTTCGTGAACTCTATGACTATGAGCAATGCAGAGAAGAAGAGGAAGGGAACGGAACGTGTGGCGGTAAAAGTACTAAGGTGGCAAAACGCAACGTATAACAAAATATATTTTTCCTATTTTTCTTGCGTGTTTGCCGACTTGGATTTCTGGAAATATCCTTATTAATTTACTTATTTTCGGTTTAATGAAATTATTTTCTTTGAAAACAAAATAAACATTCGTCAACAGCAGGATTCGAACCTGCGCAGGCAAAGCCCAACAGATTTCGAGTCTGTCTCCTTAACCACTCGGACATATTGACTACCTGCTGCTTAAGTTGCTAACTTACTTTATATTAGAAACACTTAACCATTTATGAACTGACTCCATCCTCATGGAGGTTCATGTGTGATATTATGCAGTGCAAAGCATAGTTTAGCATTTGGATCTCCCCATAGACAAAGATATAAAAGTTACATCCAAATACAAATAAAAAATCTAAAAGACAAAAAGAACTGTCTAATTGATATAAATCTTTATTGCCAATGGAAACAAGTAAATTTAGCTCTGAAAACCAAACAAAACAAGATTAAAAGGTCCTAAAACAGAATCTCGAGACAAACCTCCAATCGCTGAGTTCTCAACAAAAGATTTTCCAGTTTCTCTTTCTCTAGATGAAATATACAAATCCATATCGGTCATAATCAACGGCAAATTATAAGCAAAGGAAGAAGACAACATATATGTATGTATCTCCCAAGAGGGTAAAATCAATTGATCAAACGCTTTAAGAAGACAAGAAAAGAGAGTTAGCTGAGTAGAGAAAACAGAGGATAGAGGAGATGAATACTTTAGAAATCACGGATCAATGGTGTAAAGGTTTTTCACATGGTACCAGCTCTTCCGGAAGTCGGTTTTGTACTAGGCTTGAATTTGGAGATGTCAACGAGATCTCCAAACAGCTTGTCCTCGGGTTTATTCTTAGGTTTCATAGGAGGAAGATAAGACGCGGTAGCCGATGCTGATGATGATGGTACCTGATGCGAAGTCTGGTCTCTCATGGATAGACCGTACATTTGCTGATCCAGATACGGGCTGCTTCCTTGTTGCTGTTGGTTATATCCATATCCGTATCCTCCCATCTGATTTCCATACGCC